ACTAATTTAGGTGCTACCATGAAGGAACTTTGTAGATGCAATTAAATTCTCAAATGAGTTGACCTTAAGATAGGGAGACTGTCCTCTGCTGGCCTCAGCTAATCAGGTGAGCCTTTGAAAGGGACTGGGACCTTCCTGGAGAGATCTGACTGCGAGGAGGATTCAATATATAGGCGATTCTCCATTGGGGGCTCTAAGATTAAGGAGGTCTTGTGGCAAAGAATGTGGAAAGCCTTTGTGGGCTGAGAACTGTCCCTGGCTAACAGCCAGCAAAGAAACTCGGGCCTCATCTCTATAACATAGGAACTAGATTTTGCTTGGAAAATCTGAGGTCCATGAGACATTTTGATTTTAGCTATGTGAGACCCTCAACAGAGAATCTAGTCACACTGTGCTCGGGTTTTGACTTACAGAACAGTGTGCTAATAAATGGGTGGTGGTGTCTAAGTTGCTAAATTCATAGTAATTTGCTTAATTTGTTACACAGCAGTAGAAAACATGTACTTCTCATTAGTGATATAAGTTGAGTCCATTTCAATTAAATAGAAGTGAAAATATTCAGTACAATGTCTGGAATGAAGAAGACACTAAAGATTTGTAGGACTTTTTCCCACAGGACTTCTGAAATACAGAATTTCGGGCCAGGCGCAGTGGCGCGTGCCTGTAATCCCAGCACTTTGGGAGGCCCAGGTGGGTGGATCACGAGGTCAAGAGATCGAGACCATCCTGGTCAACACGGTGAAACCCCGTCTCTACTAAAAATACAAAAAATTAGCTGGGCACAGTGGCGCGTGCCTGTAATCCCAGCTACTCAGGAGGCTGAGGCAGGAGAATTGCTTGAACCCAGAAGGCGGAGGTTGCCGTGAGCCAAGATCGCGCCATTGCACTCCAGCCTGGGTAACAAGAGCGAAACTGCATCTAAAAAAAAAAATACAGAACTTCTCCTTCCATCATTGTCAAAGTGATCAGATAACATTTGCAAGAAAACGTGTGCGCCATCCAGAACAAGTGAAGCAAAACAGGCTCTGCAGTCATCTGTTGAAACGCAGCACTGGCAAACCATTTCCTGGATCCCTCTGAAAATCCGGGGATCAAAACAAAGAAAACGAGTCACTAACCTTTTCTGCATGTCTTAGAATCGGCATAAAAAGAATTCAGGTTTCTATCCCGGTTCTTAAAAGGCAGAAACGTAATATCTCATCTTTTAAACTATTTGACAATGTTGCTATTTCTCCAGCTTCCCAGTCTTTTACTCACTAAAGGCCAAGGATTCTGAGATCATGGGAAAGGGTTCAACAAATTGTCTCATGACTGACTCACAGACTTGGCAGCTGTACATCTGTTTGTCATGTATATAAGATGATTTCTGTGTTGAGAATTCAAATGTTTAAATTCTGGTTTATGTATCATAGATAATTCGAGCACTGGTTGCAAGGTTTTGGGATACATTCCAATGTAAGTGTGTGTTGTCTGAAATTTAGAAATTCTCCTATAGCTTAAAGCTTCTCACTTTCTGTTTTAAGAGAAGTTTTGAACTGAGTGCAATGACCTATAACTGTAATCCCAGCACTTTGGGAGGCCAAAATGGGAGAATGTCTTGAGGCCAGGAGTTCAAGACCAGCCTGGGCAACCTAGCAAGACTCCACATCTACAAAAATAATTTATTCAATTAGGTAAGTGTGGTGATTCAGGTCTGCAGTCCCTCTTACTCAGGAGACGGTGGGTGGATTGCTTGAGCCCAGGAATTTGAGGCTGCAGTGAGCTAAGAAGGTACCGCTGCACTCCTGCCTGGGTGACAAAGTGAGACACTATCTGTTAAAAAACAAAATAAAAAACAAAGTTATGCATCGTACTGCTACTAGTTGACACCTGTTTGTACGATGCCAGAGATGGTTCCATATGATTCGTAAAAATAAATGATTCGTAAAAATAAATGATTCTAACTCACATACATGTTCATTGGCCATTTTAGTTCGTTGGTTTTTTAAATTTATTTTTTTATTTTTTATTTTGTTTGAGGCAGAGTTTCCCTCTCGTTACGCAGGCTGGAGTGCAATGGCGCGATCTCGGCTCACCGCAACCTCCGCCTCCTGGGTTCAGGCAATTCTCCTGCCTCAGCCTCCTGAGTAGCTGGGATTACAGGCATGCGCCACCATGCCCAGCTAATTTTTTGTATTTTTGGTAGAGAGGGGGTTTCACCATGTTGACCAGGATGGTCTCGATCTCTTGACCTCGTGATCCACCCGCCTCGGCCTCCCAAAGTGCTGTGATTATAGGCGTGAGCCACCACGCCTGGCCAGTTTTTAAAATTTATAAACGATCTTGACCATTTCAGGATTCCAAGTACTATGAATGAAACAGATGCATTTAAACTTGCTCTTTAAGAGTGAAGAAAGATTCAGCATACTAGAGGCTGATTTCACTAGGGTTCTGATTGGTTTGGGGGCATTACAGAAAGGTAACTTGTAAATGAAAGGTTTCTTTTTCATTAGAAACACATTTGAATAATGAAAAAAAGATACTTTTTCAAGTTTGTGATGTTAAGAGATGGGGTAGGATAGGATGTCCCAGAACTTTTACTTATGCAAAACCTTTACTTATGGCCTTATGGAGATAACTGTATCCTTTACAAGACACATTTTTTTTTTCGAGATGGAATTTCGCTCTTGTTACCCAGACTGGAGTGCAATGGCACGATCTCGGCTCACCGCAAATTCCACCTCCTGGGTTCAAGCAATTCTCCTGCCTCAGCCTCCCGAGTAGCTGGGACTACAGGCGCACGCCACCATGCCCAGCTAATTTTTGTATTTTTAGTAGAGACGGGGTTTCACCATGTTGACCAGGAGGGTCTGGATCTCTTGACCTCGTGATCCACCCGCCTCAGCCTCCCAAAGTGCTGGGATTACAGGCGTGAGCCACCGCGCCCAGCCTACAAGATACATTTTTTTAAGGCAGTGAGCTGTTTTATGTTGGCTGTGAGCTTATCATAACGAATATTTAATTTTTTAGCAAGTATGTTTGCTTTTGAATGGAGAAACAGTTCAATATTCATTCAAACAAGAATGTTTTCTAGTTAAAAAAAAAAAAAAAAGAACAAAAAAACTTTTAGGCCTTGCACAATGGCTTACGCCCGTAATCCCAGCACTTTGGAAGGCAGGTGGGTGGATCCTCTGAGGTTAGGAGTTTGAGACCAGCCTGGCCAAAATGGTGAAACCCATCTCTCCTAAATATGCAAAACATTAGCCAGACGTGGTGGTGGGTGCCTCCAATTACTCAAGAGGCTGAGGTCAGAGAATCACTTGAACCTGGGGGTCGGAGGTTGCAGTGAGCCGAGATCACGCCTCTGCACTCCAGTCTGGGTGACAGAGGGAGACTATGTCTTAAAAAAACAAACAAATGAATGAAAAAGAAAACCCTACAGACCGCAAAGCTGATCCAATGTGGTGCTGAAGTTATTCCTCAAACCTTCTATATTTAAATGTATAACTAAAAAACATAGCTAAATTCAACAAAGGCATTGCTGTAACATCATATACAAGCTAATGTATTTATTTAGACCTTTGTGGTTTTATGCCAGGTACTAATATTCAACAAATGCTTGCTTCATGCATAAACATGATATTAAAATTTGTTTGCCTTTGCTTTATATTTTGTTCCGGTTCCTAATGAAATTCTTTTTCTCTGTGTACGTTGGCTATCTGTACCGTAATTCAACCACGTTTACTTCATATTGTGGCCGCTAAACTACTCCCTGAAATACTGCAGAGGCATTTGCTTTACTGTATTATGTGACCTCATTACCGGTGTATGTGCTGGGTAGCTTCCTGCTATGTATCAGTGTTCAATGACAATGAAACATTTCTTTTGAAATTTGTAATTTCCATTTTTCAAGGTTAAAGGTTAAAAGTTTTGCATATTCAGAATGTATGCCTTCCTGCTAGATTACAGTATTCAGTATTTACATCGTCCGAATAGTACACATTCCCTCACAAAACTCATTTCAGTACTTGCTTGGTAATATGCAGTCATCCCCACTCCCGTACACGAATTTCATTATAAACTGAGGTATAGCTTATATGCCAGCAAATGTCGGTTCATAGAGTATTTCTGGTTAGGGGATTTGGTGAAAGATCTCAAAGTAACGTTTGAGCTGGACTGTGGTTGATGGTCTGGAAGTAACAGACAGAAGCGACTGAGAAGATAAAGGCAGATCTTTGAGGAAGTGTCTCAAAGGTAGGAAAGTTCACAGCATAACTGTGTTCTTGCTGTAACGCAGAAGACTAAAATCAGTGTGTACAAAAGACATTTTAGGAGGTAAAATTAAAAAGCTTGACTGGAGCCAGGTCGTGAAAGCCCTTGATTGACAAGCTATGGTTACAGAAGTGTATTTTGTAAGAAATTGGGAGCCATCGAAGGTTTCTTTGACTTTTTTTTGTAGAACAGAAATAATACAATCATGCTGCCCTTTAAGAAAGATTCATCTGGCAACAGTAATTTAAGTGAATTAGAGAGGAGAGAGCTGGCAGGTGGGAACACCTGCAGAGAGGCCAACAGGTGCAGATAAAGTGCCATAAAGGTAACGAGAGTCTAAACTAGAGCAGGTGCATTGAAAACCCATAGAAGGGGCAGAAGGAAGAGAGGGGGCAAAGATTGAATCAAAGGAATTCATTAGTAATTTGGATCTGGAAGAAAAAAAAAGAGAGAAGAGGTAAAAAAATTTCCCTTGGTATTTGAGATAACAGTGGTATGAGTTAGGACTGAACTAATATGGCCATTTTTGGAATGCACAGAATTACTGAATTTGAGGGATCAAAAGATCATTCAGACTGAGCTCTCCAGTAGGTGGTTCACAGCTTAGAAGCAGAAATCAAAAGGGAGGTCAAGCATGGAGATGCTGACTTGGTGGCTGTGGTAGCCATGAGACTGTGCCCAACACATCCCTAGCACTGGGAAAGTACATTAACTGAGGGCCCAGGGATTGAACTTCAAACCCACTTTACCTTTTGACCTGAGAATGTGCACCCCACAGGCAGCTTCTTGCTGATGACTGGTTTTTGTGGAGACAGAAAGGTAGATCCGTTCCTAAGAAGACAAAGAATTCCTTTGTTAGCCAACGTCAGCTCCAGAACTCAGTTGTGCTGCAGTGCACACAGCTGCCACTCATCTTCCTCTGTCCAGTCTTTTCTTCTCTCCTTCGCTTGGGGTCAGATCTGCATCCTGGTCTAACGGTCTCATCTGTCTCCCAGACTTCTCTCACTCCCTCCCTGCTTTTCTATTAACAGCCATTGCACATCAGCAGTCAAATACGGCAGATGATTCTGACCATTCAATGCTGTCTTGACATCTGCTTCTGAGAGTGCCCAGATTAACATCAGTTGTTTGCAAAGAGGTGATCTATATTCCATGTACCATTTTGTGCAACTAGAATTAATGTTCAATATAAAGCTTAAATCATTAAAGCAATTTTAAATTAAACTTAATCGTAAATTGTAAAATTATGTTTTGTAGTTTATACCTTTAAGTGAGGATGTTCTGCACTTTATATTTTAAAAGATTATTTTAGATGGAAAAGGTAAAAATAATTATAAGAAATTCTAGGGGGTGGTTATATTTAATGTCCAATAAAAATCCCAGAGTTATGAAACACTGAGCTGGAGTCACAGATAAGAGTGAACTTTGAGACGATTGAAAACCCTAGGTAACAAAATCTATCTTTCATTTTCCACCCACTCAGAAATATGTGGTCGCATTCATGTTGTTCTTCAGCTTCTTCAGCTAGTTCTTAAAACCTTTGTGCCACATAATTGTTTTTAACACTAAAAGATATATTCTGATAATATATGTATTTCATAAATAAGATAAATATGAAAAACAACAAAAAAAACCCACAATTAAGCTGACCACCCACTGTAGCGTAGTACAGTGAGTTTTGCAAACACTGAAGGTTTTTTGTTGGTAGGCAGCAAATAAGCTAAGGTTTCCTTACACCCTTGCTTCGAAAGCAAACTTACGCTAAAGATGTATGACTTCAAGTCAATCAAACCAAAATGGCTTCATCAATACAATAATTAGGCTATCATCTGAATCATTCAAGCAATTATGGCTTTCAGGTGTATTGGTGTGAGCATGCTAAAAGCCGGTGTCAGGTGAGAACTGACGCTTAGGTTGCCAGAGGTGTGATAGGGTATCTCAGACGTTAGAACTTAACTGGAAAGAAAATAGTGTATGGAGAAGTCTTCACTCTGAGAACTTTTGTCTCTTCACATTCTTGGGAGTGGTTTATTTTCTCTTTGGCGTCAGTCTTTGGTTTAGAAATCTAGTACGTTGTTAATTCTGCCTGCATTGGATGCCTTTTGACTCGGGAGACTAACAAACTATGTTAGCAGAAACATCTGCTGATCTTCGAAACTTAGCCAATGATTTGGGGTTTCCTTGGCCAGACAAGTCATGGGATCAGAGCCCAGTTCTGAGCTAAACTTAAGGACAAAAAGATTAGTTCTGACATCTAGAAAAAGGAATTGAACACATGGGAAAACTTCAGACTTAGAAAAATTAATATTCTCTGATTTTTTCACAGTTAAAGTGAATGGAAAAATAGGACTAAGGCTAGATAGAAAGGTTGTAAAACTTACATATGCACAATTAAAATAAAGGGATGAACTATTATGTGGAATGTTTGGATCATACAAAGCTATGCTATGAAAAAGAACAACTCTTTGGCCTGGTACTACTCAAACTTGATGGTTCACTAGCTATAAAACTACTAAATTCTAGTAATATAAGAGAAACGTATTTGATATTGAAATGCTAAAATTAATTGTTTCTAGAAAAATGCATCACTAATTCAGGCTACTTTTGGATATCATGGACTATCTCTTTGTAATAGTTCAGGTTTCAATTCTTTCAAGGTTTTCATGACTCTTTTAGCTACTCAAACAGAAATCTACCGTGTCTTCAAAGATCTTTCATTAGGTAATCTTCCACAGGCTTTCAAATCTTTGTCTTTTGTGCTAATATACCGATCCTTGGCGATAACTCCAGCGCCCATGGCTTCATTGCTATCTCTCTACATGGATTTCTTGCACACATCCATCCTTCTGTTCCTATCCTGTTCTCTGCCATGCTAACTCCTACATCTTGAGCCCCACCTCCAACCATCTTACCTAGACAATTTTTAATTGTCTTTGAACTATAATACATTCCTAAGTCTAATTATAGTCTCCTCCATATCACTGCTGTGCCATGATGCATAAAATATATTTCTCAAGTATACCCGTGGACTTTAAAATAGCAGGTATATATGCTACTTTTTAAAATATCCTTCACATGTAAAATCCATTTTACCTTCATCCTACTAACATACAATATTGTCTCTACAACATCCCAGTCTTGAATTATCACTTCTTATCAAAATAAAATATGCTCAGCTCTGACAGATGCCTCATCCTTAAAATGTTCTCCTCCTCAGAACAAGAATCTCCAAGGGGAGGGGGGAAGAAGTCCTTTATTCCCTTGGATTCTCAGGTACCACAAACTCTGCTCATTCTTCTGGCTTCACAGTTTCTTTTACGCCAACTTTGCTGACTCCATCTTCTTTATACAACCCTCAAAACCCCGGTTCCTGGTGGCTTTTTCTCTGGGTCTTTTCTCCATATGTCTCTTTTACTTTAGGTGATTCCCATTCTCCCGTAGCTGTCATGAGTGGCTTCAGGTGGAAGTTTTAGAGTATGGCTAAAAATTACTTAACCTTTTAACATGGTCAGAATATTGGAATTGCAATAATATTACCTGCATAGGAAATACTTAATTTCTTGATATTCCCTGGTTGCCACATTCACGGATTTAAAGGAAAGTTCTTTTCCAAAGTCATGTTTATATATATATATATATACATATATATATAAATATAAAATTATATATATATATACAGAGCCATATATATATAATTTTATATATAAAATTCCCATAGCAGTATCTAGGTTAACTGCCAAATGAGAGTCAAATCTGTACCCCTGTTTGCCAGTCAGCAATCATCTTTTCCTGCAGCTTTTGAAGAAGGAAGTAAAGGAAACAAAGAAAAACTCCCCAGCATAGCTTCAAAGAATAAACCTTACACAAGTGCGGTAGTCAAATAGATCATCTATCCAGTTTATGTTCTTTCTGCTGAGATGGCCAATTTTTAGAAGTGGTTGCCAATTTACTAGAATGTGAATTGTGTTCCTCAATTTACTTCCCTGAAAACGTAAATTTTAAAAGATTAGAAAGAAAGATGGACTGTAAAGACAGCACGTAAGGAAGGTTAAACCAGTGACCTTAGAAGAAACACTTAATGTCTCACGTTTTTAAGATTTGATATTGTCTTAACTTTAACTCAGCATGCCTGCCTAAAATATAGCTGAATGTAACTTTTAGGGTCACCTGTCATCTACTAGGAAAATAACAAATAAATCAACATGTCAACATTATTATGTTTCCAGGTCATAAAAATATTGCTGTTTCATAAAAGACAAAAGAAAATAAGGGCAATGTTATTGATTTTCAAATACAAATTATACAAACTGTAATCTTGTTTTCCCAAGAAAGCGTTTTTCCGAGTTCAAAACTCCCACATTAGCTTTCCAGGAAGAGCCCAGTTCTCCCCACTAGCACACTGCCGAGGCTATGGATCCTTCCTGGACTCTGTGGGTTTATGGACTTGTAACTTTGATGATTTGAAAAGCGATCCACTTTCCCTTTTCATCTAAACATATGCATGTACTTTCTAATATCTATTTTAGATGAAATAAATAAAATACAATTCTCTTAAACAGTAAACCAAGTAATATACTTTACTCTAAAAACTTGCCGGGCACAGTGGCTCACGCCTGTAATCCTAGTACTTTGGGAGGCTGAGGAGGCTGGATCACCTGAGGCCAGGAGTTTGAGACCAACCTGACCAACATGATGAAACCTCATTTATACTAAAAATACGAAAATTAGCTGGGTGTGGTGGTGCATGCCTACAATCCCAGCCAGGGGAAGCTGAGGCAGGAGAATGCTGGAACCTGGGAGGCAGAGGCTGCAGTGAGCCGAGATTGTATTACTGTACTCCAGCCTGAATAACAGAACAAGACTCCGTCTCAAAAAAGAAACAAACAACTTACGCATTCTCAACTTTGGTGCGCTGTAAGATTTCCCTCATGGTTTTAAATGTTTTTATTATGTGCATATATTTTGGGAATGATGCTACGAATAAGACTAAACAGGCCGGGCACAGTGGCTCACGCCTGTAATCCTAGCAATTTGGGAGGCCAAGGCAGGGGGATCACTTGAGGTCAGGAGTTTGAGACCAGCCTGGCCAACATGGCCAAACCCTATCTCTACTGAAAATACAAAAATTAGCCGGGTGTGGTAGCTGGTCCCTGTAATCCCAGCTACTCTGGAGCTGAGGCGTGAGAATTGCTTGAACCCAGGAGGCAGAGGTTGCAGCTGAGATCATGCCACTGCACTCCAGCCTGGGCGACAGAGCCAGACTTTCTCTCTCTCTCTCTCAAAAGAAAAAAAAAAAAAAGTAAACAGTGACAAGAGCTATCTAGTTGATAAATAACCCATAAAGAATGAGTTGAAAACAGAAAACACAGCCAATAAGCAGATTATCTTAAGGTTTACAGTATCTCCGTAAGAAGGAATTCCATATTTAGATGACCTGGGCTTTGAGCCCAGGTCATCTATGTGCCTTTTAGGGTTGTCAGAATTAAGTGAGAGAATTCCTTTAAATCCCATTAGCACAATAGCTGAGGATAGACAGGGCCCAGTAGCCATTATTCTTATTGCCAAGCCTATGTCTCAAATATCTTCAGATACTTTAAAGAGAACTATCTTTCTCTCTCTGTCCTACTTCAATACCTTATTTACACTTCTCCCATAGCACTTCTGTAAATTTTGGTGATTAATACATGTGTCTGTCTTCCTTACTGGAGATTGGTTTCAGGAGGCAGGGACCATGTTTTCTTCGCCTTATATTTTTCTCACAGTACTCCCTTCCCAATACTTAACCCCAGGTTTACACACTAGACTTTAAATAAATGCTTATTAATTAAAAT